TTCCTTAAATTACATTAGAATTTACTAGATTCTACTTCTGGCAACATTCAGATGTTAGAGAGACACAATTTATCACTTTAAGACAGCAGAGGTTAAGTAAATATTGTGGTATTGTTCTACAATTATGATGCTGCAATATTTGTGCCACCTCATTGCAGTTTTTTTATTTATCTTTCTTGACTGTCTAAATGTAACAAAAATGTAGGTCTTTAATATCTTTTTTAAATTATGTGCAGCACAATCTAATTATTACTCCATGCAAAATCTCTTAGATGAACACTGTGACATTTTTTGATTGAATTATAGGCAATAAGGCAACTATTGTGTAAAATAAAATATGTTACTCTTTAGAAACAACTTTTTAATATGTTAATCAAGTAATGGTTGAAACCATGTAAGACACCCAGAACAAGAGTGGCCAGAATCCTATTGGTATTTGAGTAAGCTTTGCATAACTTTCTACAACTAATTGTCACTATTTAACAAGCGCTAGGTTACATCTCAATTGCATGTCATGTAATATGCCTAAGGGCACAACTTAAAAGCACCTTGACACTTCATCAATTAAACCAAGCCAGTTACTGCAAATTACACAGAATTGACACGAACACCAATAGGATTCTGACCAGTATGTCAGAGTACACAAATAAGTTTCAGGTCAGCCATTTCCTGAAATATTTTGATTTATTACCTTTTAATATTTTTAATTCATTCACCTGTTAGAAATGTTATTGAACGTATTGTTGAAATCAGGAAATCATAATCTAATTACAGGCAAGTAGCTTTGCATGCATTTTTGTTCAAAGAAAAACATTTTTAACATTAAATTAGAAAGAGATCCATATGTTATAGATCCTTCAGTTTGTAGCAGTAACAGGAAAGACAGACAACTGAAGAACTACCTTTAAAGAACCTGGTACATGCACATCTAGAAGAGATTGACTTGCTTATGTTTCATTTACAATTCAAGTTAAAGTAGCCTTGGTTTTATAGGGCTGTCTTCTTCTACTGACTATTGAATTCTTACTATCCAAACAATTACAACCAAGATTAAATGCAAGTTGATGTTTTGCTGTAGAAAATAGCAGAAATTGCATTTTTTTTTTTAAAAAAGTCTTTCTTTAGATCAAGGTAGAACTGGATATATCTGAGTCGAGGATGGGAGAATCTGTTCTCCAGGTCAGCATTCATGATGAACTACAAGTGTTGGCTGTTCCTTCTGCTTGGATCTTAAAAGCAGGACTTTAATTTGGAGAAGCTCGATTTGTGATTTTGATCTAGAGAAGGCTGAGGCTTCTGAGTGCGCAAGCAGGGTGATGATACTCCTCTGCTAGCAAATTCAAAAGATTACATTCCTAGTACTGATAACTGAGCAATTCAACATTTCAAAGGAATCATATTTCCTCAAAATGTAGAAACAAATCTTATCCTGACAATGTTGCATGCCATTCAGAGCTATAAGCAATTGTACCTCAGCCACATTCTCAGCTCCCCTAAATAAGGCTATAAAAGTTAAGTACAGAAGGCTTTGGACTTTGGCTAGATTCCATCTTTTGGACACAGATGGAAGATTCATGCAGCCCCAATCATGAACACACACCCCAATACAGACATTCTGATACAGTCTGCTGCTGGAGAGACATGCTCCAGTGAGGCTTTATTTTTTTTCCCATACAGATTCTGCTCCATGGGTAAATATGTTTTTCCAACTTGGAAGAGCTTCAAAAACAATTTGAAAAGCAACAAGAAATAGGGACATTTCCATTTGCCTTAAGTCCTTTGTTCTGGACTGTGATTGTGCTTTCTGATCTAAAAAATGACAAATTCAAAGAGCATTAGAGCAGCTGGGAGAAGGATGGATCCAGAATTTATTGAATGAGCTACATCAACTACTCTTTTTTTTCTTTCTGGTGCTGAACAGTTTCAAGACATTTTGTCAGATCTGCTGAACGTCAATGAAGCTCAGTATACTGTTTATAAAATGAATTTATACTTGAAAATGCCATCATTTCATGGTATTTTCCAACATACTCCAGTCTCCTTGCTTGTCTGTCAGTTTTTATAAGGTAAAGGTAAAGGTAAAGGTTCCCCTTGACAATTTTTGTCCAGTCGTGTCCGACTCTAGGGGGCGGCGCTCATCCCGCTCTTCAAGCTATAGAGCCAGCGTTTGTCCGAAGACAATCTTTCCGTGGTCACATGGCCAGTGTGATTTATGTTTTTATATTCCTCTTTATCTCTAAATACACTGCTCAGGTCTTGTGTGGTTTTCTAGGCCATAAAACTTCTGAATGCTTATCACCAACCCTATTCTTTTGCAAACTCTTCTACCCTCATGCCACTATTCTGCATCTAGTTCTGAGTGGTAGATCCTGGTATTATGTTAAATGAAAAAAAAATGACCTGCTGAAGTCAGAGGTATGCTCACTCTGTGTCAAGGAACATATTTCCTGTAACAGTCCTGAAAACATTCCAAATGGCTAGTTTAACTGCAGTTGGACTTTTTGCTTGGCGTGCTAGGGCCAGGTATGACAGACAGGTAAATTCTTTGTCCCTTTGAACGTTTCTTAGCCAATTATGTCATAGCAGAGGCATACCAGTCTAGTGGGAAACTCAGATCCACAATTTAGACTGACAGTTAAGAGCCAGATAGGGCTTAACTAAAAAAGCAGCAGGTTAGGTTTTGGCCTAGAATACTTCAATCAGACAGGGCCAACATCCTCAGGATGAGGAAATTTTCTAGAAAGGGTTAGATTTTTTAAGTGTTCCTAAAAGCAAATAGCCTTTCTAGAAGGGATTGGCTTTTTAGTGAGCAGGGTTTTTTGTTTTGGAAGAAGTCCAGTATAGAATTTATGCTGATCCACTGAATCAGAAGAGATTTTAAAAAATTCATATTGTGCCTTTAATAAACAAATTACTAAACTACATCTTCTCATTTAGTTTTGAAAATAAATGTTGGTTTTATAATCTGCTTCACTGAGTGATCAGGCAGATGGACCACACAAATGAACACAGCTGGTCACGGTTTGCAGTTTGTTGATATTTGCGTCTACACTGCACGTCCCATTTTGGAAAATAACTTCTCTAGGGATCAAAGTCCTTGTATGCTGTTATAAATCTGCTTCGCCACTGCAGCTCTGCCTAGGGCAGGGTTCCCCCCAAATTTAAAGCTAATTAAGCTCTAACTAAAAGCCTCCAAATTGGGGCTTCAAAATGAACTTGCCATAGGAAGTGCTGTAGCACTCCACCCATCAGAATGTATCTCGGGACGAAAACAAACCACCTTCACAGCAAGAACAAAAAGCTTGGGAAGGCAAGAGAAAAACATGGATGGCATTAAGCTCATGAGACTGGATCAGCTGGGGGGGAAAAGGACTGTTGCTGAAAACTACTTTTATTAGACCAACGCTCTAGCTGGACAAGCCCTCAGTTTACCTATGTATACTTATAGCCAGCTAAGGATGGGATGTGCTAATTCTCCATAGCAGGAGTTCCTCCTACCTTATAGACACCTTACAGACATCAAATGTTATTGGAGAAAGGCCTAGACTGGAAGGCTTTAAGCCCTAGCTAGGCCTAGCTCTGCCCAAGCTTTCTGCTCATAAGGGAAACTCGCAGATAACTTTGGGGCAAGAACAAGAAGCTTGGTGGAGCTAGGCCTAGCTAAGCCTCAAAGACTTTCAGTTTAGGCCTTTTCTCCAGATGCATCACTTGTAGGTATTTGTAAAATAGGCAGAATTCCCAGAATGGAGATTTATGGTATCTGTGGTCCAGAATATCCAATGATCCTGTCCCTAAAAAATCTTAGAAATATTAAATATCACTAGCAGTAGTTTACACATTATGAGAACAATAGTATACATTGTTATTAGTTACTAAAGTAAATACAAAATGCAAAAACTTTTGATTACCCTGAGACTTTTGTCATATTACCAGTTTCCCATGTTGTGATGGAATGTCAATTCAAGGTCTGCTATAGTCCCAACCCCACCATCATCCAGAAGAAAACAGCGAAAGAAAGTAACTTGTTCTGCAGTATTGAACCATCCAAAAATCAATGGAGAGTAAATTAGAAAATAGAGGGGATTAAAAATCTGTTTGCTGCTCTTAATATGGAGGTAAAACAATTTATTATAACTTTATTTTATGTTGCATATTTCATAATTGATGTTTTAAAAAGCATGCCATAAAAATTAATAATAATGGAACACGACTGAACCAGTCTTCCCAACTTGAAGTAACAGGGACAACTGAGTATTTATTTATTTATTATTTATTTATTTACATTATTTTTTAGCCACACCATTACCAGTCTCTGAGCGGTGTACAACAATATTAAAACTTTAAAAACATTAAAAAATGCCAATATTATATAATAATATCCTGTATTAAAAACAATCATTAAAACATTAATATTAATAAATCCTGCTGCTCATATGGCCAGCTAGAGAATACTGTTTAATTAAAATGCTGGCTAAACAGAAAGGTCTTTGCCTGGACGAAAAGCCAAAAGTGTTGGAGCCAGGCAGATCTCTATAGGGAGGGCGTTCCGAAGTTGGGGAGGGCAATAGCTGAGACCACCCTATTTTGGCATGTCATCCCCCTCACCTCTTTAAGGGATGGCACTTTCAGAAGGGCCTTCTGGCCTAT